AAAGATTTGGGTTTTTAATTCTCTGTCCTGCAGTGAAGTGGAGCCGACACACTGTATTATCAGTCAGCGATCCAGAAGAGAATATCGAACCTTCAGATCAATAGCGTCAGAGTCATTTTACTTGAAGGTTTCAGCAAAGTGTGCCCCAACAAAACATCGCTCGATAAAAGGCGAGGGTCACACACGGGCACACTGTAGTGGACTATGTACACAAACAAGTTCACTTCAAATTTACACATTTGCATAATTGTTCAGAATGCCAGCAATGAAATCCCCTGTGGTAACACATTGAACTGTGTCCTTCCTCAGGGCTAAGAAAGCATGAAAGAACCAGTGCATGAGCCAAACTCCAACCAGAAGGGAAAACTCCACTAGATATAAGTGTCAGCAGGGGCCAAATTTAGTCAAGGGACATTTTACATTCACATTTCCTCTTTAGAAGGGATTATAATAAATGTATGCGTTCCTGTATTCACACTTAAGGGCCAAACAAAGTATGTGTGATTTTGGCACCTGGCTGCAGAAATTCGCTCCCTTTCTGCCGCAAGAGCATTATTAGTGAGGTCCAGTGATGAGGTCTGGCCCGCAGTTAATCCCAAAGGTGTTCAATGAAGTTGAGCCAGCCAAGTTTCACACCAAACAAGGACATGGGGACATTGCAATGAATGGGAAACAGTATGCTTCCAACTTTTTTCTGTTTCAACATGGCAATGTCCAACAAGGTCTCACTGCAAGTCGTCAAACACTGCTGCTTAAACAGTGGCCCTAATTATTGTGCCTAAACTTAAACAAACTCTCAGAAACACAATGAAGTCTGTGGATTATCCAGAGCAATGAGGATAAAGTTTCTGAAAAGACAAGTTCAAACATTTAAATGTACAAAAATAAAACCAAACTTAATTTGTTGTTATTTCGAAATGATGCCTTAAACCTACCGTATTCTTCACAATGTACATGCAGCCATTCCCATCTGCAGAGTCTCTTCAATATACAACATATAAAACATATTTAAACTCTACTGCTCTGGATTTACAGAGTCTGATAGAAGTGAAGAAGGCAGACTGTTAGCGGCCTGTGGGGCAGTGGGGCTGTGCTCAGGCAGCCTGGCTGGGTAGGGATTCTGATTTCATATACTCTGGATCAATACACAGCAGGAATCAACCTCAGAGCATCTGAGGCTTCAACAGGACTGTAGACGTTTGTTGTTCTATAAATAATGTCCCTAAGGAACACATTTGTGCACAAACCTAAGGAAAGAAATCCTCACAAATATCAAACCCGGCTTTAAGGGTTGTGCTGTGCTGAAGGCATTGTCTTCTCTATTGTGATCACTGATCTATACATGATTGCCCAGAATCCTTTCACTGCTCATACGTTATTTAACACACATGTAGCACTCACAACTGAGTTATATAACTGTGAAGGCTTCCTCTGCAGAGCCCCATTTCTATCTGCCAGCTCTCTGCCCTGCAGCACTTGTATGTGTGTGTGTGTGGAGAACGGGGAACAAACCTGATTACCTGCCTGTTGTGATGCTGGCAGGGAGCAGGACCCGTCATGGCGGTGATTCTGTGAGTGGAAGAGGCTTCACTGCCTCGCCTTTGAAGGGTAGCTGCAGATGTTAAGGGCCAGATATAATAAGTGTGTGTGACGTCAGCATTAAGAAACAGTGCTCTGCATCTTGAACATGCACATGTCCAACATGTCTGAGGAACCTAACGTGTCCTGAATAACATATCCAGTGTGTTCAGTTACTGAATACAAATTCTTACTACAAAATCAAACATTGAACATTTTATACTGAGAAATAGATGCAGCCACAAAGATTAGAGTTCCACAAATATTCTTTTTTTCTCTTTAATCATCTCAAAACATTTTCAATGTAAATAAAATGAATTCTGCCCATTCAGGATTTACAGTTGATCAAATCAAATAATAGAATGTCTTCTGTAATTATTTCTCAATGTTTCAGTACTGAAAACCTTTGTTGATTTCAGCAGGGTTGTTAGCAGGCCACTGGATGTCCCTGGGTTGATTATAATATTCTTAGTATTTCCATGATGATGTCTATCCTAGAAGTCATTTTCATGATTCTAGCTTCACATTCAAGAGGTTAAATGAGAGAAGACACCAGAGAAATACTTGATGCAGTCCTCTTTTCTTCTTTTTCAAACACTTTAAGGCTGCAGTTGGTAATTTTTAGACAAATATTTTGAAAAATGTTGCTAAAAACTATAAAATGTAGCTGTCAAGATTTCATGTTGGACAAGAGTCTACAGCGATGCTAGCAACTGTTTAGTGGATATAATGTTTAGCATGTTCACTATTTTAGTAGGTGTGTTAATAGAAAGAGCCCTAACCCTGGAGCCATGACTTTAAACAACAATTAGCATTTCATATAGAGAGAGATAGATGTAGATACAATAATAGAGTATGTGAATGGATAAAAATGAAACTTGAAGCTCTGATTGGTGTGATTTGGTGTCTCTGTGTTCCAGACTGTGAGACTCTGGGGGCCTGGCAGAAGTGCACTGTGGCTGGCTCAGGCTGGGACTTACAAAGCTTTGAGCCATTTACTTGACAGCTAACCTTGAGAGAGGAAGCCAAACATGCTTTATTGAAATGATGATGGCTGGCAAGAGAAAGAACTACATAAAAATACACATTATGTGTCTTCTTGCCTTAAATGTATGTAAAAATAACAGGTCTCTGTGAAGTGGCTGTACTATAGCTGTCAACGGTTATTTCTGAAATCTTGCAGCACTAATGGATTCAGGAATGACTTGTAGAACTCACACAACAGTTTCCAGTGCAGAAATATTACTGATAAACTTTTGAAGTGGCGTGCCAAGGCTGGCCTGCAGTTCAACCCCCGCTGAAGGGTGGCTGTCCTCCAGTTCAACCCAATCAGCAGGCCTAAATGCGGGTCTTTTCCCAGTACATCTGGAGAGATGTGTCCTGTCTGCGGCAGCAGGAGCCAAGGCTGTGACGGGGGAATGGCTCCACCGGGGAGAGCCAGACAGGTGCAAGGCCACTGGTGGCTACATCCTTCCCGTATATAAGAGACGGAGAGAGGGGGAGGGTCAGCTGTACCAGGAAACCTTGAATCTGGTGAGTAGCGCTGGACAGGATATGTTAGTAGATGGGATGGACCTGGTGACTGGTCTGTAACTGCTAATGATTTCCTATATTTTTCATTGATGTTAGACCCTCTTTTCTCTTTTGCTGTTATGGTGCTAATGTTAATGAGTTCCATTTCTCTTTAGAACTCGTAGACTGAGAGCAGAATGGTCTTGTGTGATCTATAGTGTGACTTTATAATCTCTGGCCAATGAGAAAAAGCACAAATTCATCCTGATAAGAGAGTTCTTGAAGTGCAAATGATGGTGTGAAATTGGAGGGGAGAGTAAAGGAGAAGAGGAATGATGAAACAACCAGCGGATGTGCAGCAATACTCTGCTTTATGTTTCCCCCTCTGCTCCATCCTGCATGCTGTTTGCTCAACTAATTCACTACAATCTGTACATGCTAATGCTAACCTGCAGTCCCTAAAAACCCCCATTACTGGACTCACATACTGGCATGACGTGTCCTCTGAGATCAGCTGACAGACATTATTAAGACGGCGACCCAAAATATCCGTGACCTACCCCAGCGTGAGTAACCCAGCTCTGACTAATCACTTAACCGAGTAATTAAGGTTGTATTGATTTGGAGAGGGGCAACGTTTGGTGCCGCAGATGATTAACACGCCTCTGAGTCTGCCAAGAAATTAAAAAAAAGAACAGCAGACGCTTGTTGGAGATTCAGTCGAAATGAAGAGGTAGATATAGGAGAGTAACTAACTGCAGACACACACTGTGTGTGTGTGTGTGTGTGTGTGTGTTGAATGTTGGATGGAGAAGGTAGTACTCAGCTTCATTCAAGCCGATGCATCTCGTGTGTTTGTGTTTGAACTGATCTCAGACCAGCTGGAAAAGAAAAAATAACAGGACAAAAGAGTTTTATTCGCACATCACAAATCTGAGAAGGCTTTACGATCTGTACAACATATCACAGCTTCTATTGTTTGACCCTCGATTCAGAGAAGGTAAAGGGAAGAGAAATGTGGAATAAAAGAAGGAAAGAAAAAAGAAAGAAAACTAAAAGGTGGGAATAATAAAAATAATAGAAGGAAACCAGAATAAATTAATTAAAGAAAGAAGGCAAGAGGAAATAAAACTTTCCTCTGAAATAAAACAGAGGAAGGTAAAAGAAAAGAAGGATTAAAGAAATCGTTTTTTACACACTGACAGGACACTTTATGCTAAGCTAGGCTAACCGGCTGCTGGCTGTGGCCTTGTGTTTATAAGACTATCAACTGACTCTGCTTGAAACTGAATATTATCTAACTATTTTTTTAATATTAATAATATATTAATAATAATTTAATTTAAATGATGGAAAGTAACTTGTAGACTTGTAGATAAATGTATGGGTGTAAAAAACATTTTATTTCCTGCTGAAGTTTAGTTACAGTAAGTTACAGAAGCTACAGAAATGAAAAATCCCTTCCAGACATTTGTTAAGACATACAAACAAAAAAGAAAACTAATGTCTGATATGTTTGTTCCACAATAACAAGTGTAAGTTCAACTTTAAAATCCTTAAAAAAGCCTCTTCTCCTTCTGCCTCAACACATCTATGAATATATACAATATAATAGACGTCTCCTCCTTCTTAGTGTCTGTGCACTGCTGGATCTCACTGTACAAGTTGGACTGGACCAGGACTGACCTCCAAACTATTTGGGATGTCTCAAATCAGGCTCATAGGCCCCGCCCCTCAAAATCAGATCTTTCCACTTTCAGCAGATGAATGTGAAAACATTCTTCTAATGTCAAACTCTGCAGACATCATTCCAACATCACACTGTAGGAACAAGAAGAAACACATTCATAATTCATCTTATTTGTTTCATTGAACTGTTGAAGTTGAGTTTATCCCTCTCCTGACCTCCAGGACCCCGCTGTAGAACATGGAGGGGGACTTTCGGCCGCAGGTGAAGAAGGTGGCGGTGGCCATGGGCGCTTCGCTCACAGACCAGGACATCGACCACATGCCACAGGGGCTGACAACACATGGTGACACTGTGTGTGTGTGTGTGTGTGTGTGCAGTCATTAATTTAAAGTGGCAGGTGTGATGAATGAGGAGGCGTTCACGTGTGAGTCATGACGATGATTTCACTGTCTGATGTCATCTTTTGTGATTGTCTGCAGAAAACTTCAACTACAGCCGGTTTCTGGAGCACATGAGGCAGTTCAAGACCTCCGAGCAACGAGAGGAGGTCATCAAGAAGGCCTTCGTGATGCTCGACAAAGACGGCAGCGGCTACATAGAGTGGAACGAGATCAAGTATGAGCCCTACGTTCATTTAAAGCAGGGTTTCTCAACCCCTAGGGGTACTTTAGGGTACCGCAGAGGGAACTTGACTTTAAAAATGTTAATTAAAAATATCGGTCATGCATAATTCCTAAAACAATGATACTATAAGTTCAATAAAAAAATTAAATGCAGGTTCAATAAACCACATTTTATATTCAATAATCCTATTTTCAATGCAAACGTCTCACTAAATGCAACTTCAAGTGCACAACAAATCCAATTAAAGGGTCAACATTTTAATTTAATAGTCCAAAAACAGCAGTCACTGAATAACAAACTTTACTTAAAGAGGAGAAAATAGTGATTTGTTGGGGACTATTTTAAGCTGCGAATTAGGCTGCAGTGACACTATTTGGGACAGCAGGACGGTGTATGTGGGCTTTACTACAGTGTGTGTTCATGGTAATGAAGGAACATCTCACCCAGTGCATCAGTGTGGGTGAGGTGTTTCTAACAGTTTTTGGACAACAATGGAGCTCTATGGCACAGAGGAAGAAGATGTATCAGAGTCTGATACACACACAGTGCTTGTTCGTAGATAAACTCACCATTGGTTTTGATCTTTTCATGCGATTATTAGTCAATGACAAAGATATGTCCACCCTATCCTTTAAATATCTGTTTCTAACAAATGAACTGCTGCCAGGGCTATTTTTAAAATTCAGTCATTAAATCGTGACATAGAGTCAAAAATCCTACCAAAGACAAGTAACAGAAAGAGCTGATAGAGATTTCTCTCTTCGCAGGTACATTCTGTCGACTGTACCGACTGCAACCCCGTCGGCTCCTCTCTCCGACGAGGAGGCCGAGGCAATGATCCAGGCTGTCGACACTGATGGAGACGGACGCATCGACTACAGAGGTAGTGTTTTACATTTTACTCTCTCTGATGCACTGGCCTACAGTCACCACTAAGGGTCAGCAGTTAGTAACTCTTCAAGGAGGAAAAATGGTCACTCACTCCAGGCTGAATGAAAACATGTCAGCTGATTTTTAAAGACTGCGATAACCCTGTACGCTCAGAGGATCTGTGATCATAATGTCATAAATAATGTGTTTGGAGAATCCAGCGTTGTTAAGACCCCAATGCAGCCCCTAACCCAGCGGTCCCCAAAACTAGGGGTCGCCAAAGCTTCATGGGGGGTTGTGAGGCTGCCTTGATCTTAGTGTGCTAGAAAACTTAAACATATACACAGTGGCCTATAGCTCAGTATTTAGTTCACTTCTGAGAAGAAAAGTAAATGTAATGTAAATTGTCTAATAGAACAGTGGCCAAGCCTATTAAGTCTGTATGATTGTTAAAAATTAAGAATTTGAGAAAGTTCCCTAAACAGGAAATAATCTGCACAGAATTAATACAAATTTCCCGTTCTACACAAACTTCCTGCAGTTACTGAGTTCACTGTTTGAGTTCATTATAAAATTTTTAATATAATATAAAATATTCATAAAATATGTCACTGAGTCAGTTTACTGAATGATAGAAAATGGGTCCCTTAAGGAAAAAGGTTGGGAACCACTATCCCAACCAATAACACTCACATCTGGCTCTGTCTCCCTTTACGTCTCAGAGTTCTCAGACATGGTGAAGATGGAGAAGAAACCGAGGAAATAGAGGACACGTGATCAATCTGAGTCTCACGACAGTGTGAAAGACAGGAGGAGAGGAAGCCGGAGAGACCCCCCCCCACACACACACACACCAGATCTGCCCTCCCTAAAGAACGCTCTTCCTCCTCTTCCTATTGGGGAAACGTGGGTTTGTTCAAGTCGTTAAAAACATGTTTATGACTTACTGCCTTGTGTCCTAAACCACTGTCTGTTATCATGAGTGTTAATAAGTGCCAGCCCACTGTACTGTATGTTATCACCCTGACACCACACTGGTCATTTGCACACACTGAGCTCCATTTTCCCCTGAGCTAAGGGAGAACCAGCAGCAGATAAAGTGAGCTCGGATCACTCCCTGACATCTCTCACTGGGTGGGACTCCCCAAGAATGGGTTATGGTCATGTGTCACTTTACTGGTTATATATGTTTGCCTGTGGACACAAATAAAACATCTGTTTCTTTTTATGTTGGTTTTTAAAAAGAAACAGCACTATAAAGGTCTTCCTTTCTAACTATTACACTTTTGGAAAACACAATCCATAATTTCTGATGACTGGATCACTTAGTTTTTACATGTATTGATTACAGATATATAGAATAGATATATTCCTTGATATGCAGTGTCTTTGGTTTCTTTTTGTCCCCTTCATCACAGACCTACAGTATATTGTCAGTGTTGTTAATACAATAAAGGTTTATTAGGTTTAACTTGAAATGTCAGCCTACACAGGAAAACGCTTTTATACAATATCTTGAGACGTAAACGTTGTTGTTGACGTCTTTTTGATACTTGCTTTGTTTCAACATTTAATACATAAATGTGTTACAAATTAGGGATTTGCCTCAGTGTGCTCATGACAGAGCAGCAACAATCGCAGCCAACAGTCCAAACACAGTAAGAAAGTAGAAAAAGCCCACTCCATAAAACATTACACACGTCTGTGGATGTAGGAGATCTAGTGTTCAACGTTGTAGTGATGACCCGGTTGTTGGTTACAAGCAATGCACTGTACATTTAAAATGTCTATACACATATTTTTACATACATCCAGAAGTTTCTGTACTGCTGCACTTGTTTGGTGTTTCAGTCTCACCAGGAAGTTGCAATCACAACAACACAAATTCAACCAATCCGAGTCACCTTGCAATTTTGTCCAATCACCATAGTTCCTGCACGTTTCACCAATCAACCACAGCGTAAAATGTTGAGCCAGTAGCAATTTTATTCTCACTGGAACAAAGTGCAATTTTCTTTTTCTGCCACAATTTCATTGCACAAAAATGATTAAAACGTCACAAGAATAGCATTTTTTTCTTCTGCTAAATCCTGGAGCAACTTTTTTTTTTTTTTACTTGAGGAAAGAAAGTGTAGAAAGATAAGTGCCTTTTGTTTTTTTGCCTCAGCCCTTTTAAACAGAGAAAAACATTCATTTTATTTTGCAGGTATTAAAAATGTCTTGAAGATTTCATATCTTCATGTTACCAACATACAGCTGTTCTCCAACCACCAGCGCCCCCAGGAAGTCACCAGGAGACGAGGCGCACGCGTGGTTTTCTTGAGACAGTACTGGTTGAAATGAGGTGGGCATTAACTTTTTTTAGAAATATTTACCTTTATCCACAATCTTCTGGCAAATACACAGAAAAAATAAGTATGCAACAGAGGAAGGTTTGTTTTCAACACAACCTATTATGCACATTGCATTGCATTTCCAGCTCTATATTCTTAGTCTGACCAAAAACATCCTTATTTATCATATACTGGCCCTCCGTGCAGCCCCTCAGTTCGTTCTCAGTCTCTTTAAGCCACCGCCCGTCCCTAGAAGCTGATAGGCCAACTTTGCGGGATCCTGCTGAGGAGCTGAACATAATGCACATTACGTTACAGCTCTAGTGTTACATCTGACAGCTTCGGACCGCCGGCAGTGCCGGTGCCTCGCACTCAAAGTCCGTTAGCAGCAGTTACCAAACTCAAAGCAGCAGAATTCAATTCCACAACACTCACAGGAGACTCCCTATATTCAGCCTCTTCCAACCATTTCCAGTCTTCAGTTTCAGGTCGGAGTTTGAAAGGTTCTTTCCAAACAGAGTGTGACGCCTTGTCATCAGTGTTTGGTTGTGAATGACTATCTGGATCCAGGATCCTGACAGGTTCTGATCCTCCACAGTCCTCTCCATCAGCCTGTTTTTATCTGCGTTGCTGAGCTGCTGGCTGGAGGCTGTCTCTGTTGTCCTCAGTTTGGCTTTGATGACACTGGGAAGACTCATGTTCACAGGCACAGTGGGAACCTGCACGTCACGTCATCTGGAAAAAGATGTTGGAAACGTTGCATTCAGAGACTGAATTCTGAGCTTTTTGCTCACAGGAATTACATTTATGGCCAAAATCCAGCGGGCGCGGCCTAGAAGCGCCAGGCAGCATAGAGCAGATCGCTTTAGCAGGAAGTCAGGCACAGAAACGGCATAGAAAATCTGGACAATTTTCAAAATAAAATAACTCGTGCAGACCCTGGATCAAATTTCATCAACACTGTGGCACCAGGCCGGAAGTCCTAGAGTAAGTCAGTCAGAGGAGATTTGACACCATGGGCGACGAGAAGTTCAAGTTGGAAGTGGAGGGACACATCATATTGTGTCCTTTGTAGGACAAAATACACAAGTCAAGAACGTTGGACAGGCAAGACGCTGTCTGTGGGATTTGAAGACGAGAGGATCACAGAGCTACATCGTGTCTCAGACACGTCGAAGCCGTGCCTGGTGGAACTTCTTTTTTCAAGATCAAGACCTAACCTTGTAACATTGTATGACAGAAGCTAATAAATCACCTTTAAAATAAACACAAAAGACAAAAACTAAATACATACAAAACAATAAAAGATGAAAAAAGTGCTGTGGTTGACCACATGTAATCAGTCTTTCACAAGGAACCCTAGAAGAGATTTTACCTCGAGTGGACATTCATGTGTAGCTTCAGATGTACCTGCTGGTTAAACCTTTTGTCACAAACATCACAGCCATACGGTTTCTCTCCTGTGTGGATTTTCATGTGTGTCTTAAGATGTGACTGCTGGTTAAACCGTTTCCCACAGTTATCACAACCAAATGGTTTCTCTCCTGTGTGGATTTTCATGTGCGTCTTAAGATTTGTCTTCTGGTTAAAGCTTTTACCGCAAACACCACAACCAAATGGTTTCTCTCCTGTGTGGACTCTAATGTGTGCCTTCAGATTCTGCTGCTCTGTAAATCTTTTCCCACAAACATCACAGCCAAAGGGTTTCTCTCCGGTGTGGACTCTCATGTGTGCTTTCACCTTTACTAGTTCTATAAATGTTTTCCCACAAACATCACAACCGAACGGTTTCTTTCCTGTGTGGTTTCTCATGTGTCTCGTAAGCTTTGACTGGTGGCCAAAATTTTTCCTACAAAGATCACAGCCAAATGTTTTCCCTCTGTGGACATTTTGTGTCATTTCACATGTTTCGTCGGAGGACTCTTTTCCTAAAGGACATACGTTGCCACATTCAAGACAACTAAAGGAATTGTTTCCATCGTTAGATTCCACATCACTTACAGGGCCTTCATCGGGTTTCCATGATTTTACACCTGACTTAGATGCCCTGGTGTTCTTAGAATCACTGTCACTGTTTTCAGTCTCAGATCCAGAATCTGACAAAGGTTCTTGCCAACATCCATCACTGACATCAGTCTCTGAAGAGTCTGAAGACATTTCATCAGTGTGTGGTTGTGGATCATCATCTGGATCTACGTTCCTGGCAGGTTCTGATATTCCACACTCCCCTCCATCAGTTTCTGCTTTTATCTCCGTTGCTGAGCTGCTGTCAGGAGGCTCTGCTTTTATGTTGTCCCCAGTTTGATGAAGCTGTGAAGACCAAGGTTCATCTTCATCATTTTCACTCTTCAAAGAAACACCAGGTAATGGGAAACTGGAGTCGTTAGCCTCCCCAAACCCATTAAGCTGCTCTCCCTCCTGACTGATCCCCAGTTCCTCCTGTTCCTCTTTTATGTGTAGAGGCTCTGGGTCCTTGCGGGGGATCCAATCAGGAGACTTCTTTTCACCAATCAACACCTGCTGGACATCTGCAGGTAACACTGAAAAACACACAAGAACATTAACAATCAATAACAGTGCTCCATTATGTTTTCATGTGTTATTCAGGTTCATTGCTGAATGAAGGATTGGATTTGATTTTAAAAAGGACAAACTAAAGTTATTTAAATTGACTGGATCAGGAGATTTTGACAATGGCAACTTTATAGTTTTTATACAGTTTTGAGAAAATAGTGCTATTTCACCAAGAGTATAAGTTAACATTCTACAATAAAGACAAACATATATTTTACTTACCGAACCGTCTGGGGTCATTAGGTCGAGGATTCCACCTTCTGGACATTCCCACTCCACTTGTGATTCTCCTCCTTACAATCCTTGCTTGCAGCTCGGAGATGTATCCATAGGTTTTTTCTGATTTTAGAGTGTACACGCTGTATCTTCTGCCATTTTTCTTGTACAGCCTTCTGAAACTGTAATTACACAGATTTTCAAACATTCAATCAAAGTTATTCATTATAACAACTGACAGCCTTGAGTGAACATGTAAAATTAACTTGTACCTGCATACAAAGCAATGACTGTAAAAAAAAAAAACAAAAAAAGAAAAAGAAAAAGAATGTTTCAAATGTAAAACATACATCTCGTTGCCTTCCGCTGTTTTCATTGTCGGTCGGCTTCGGTGGAAATTATAGTCCAGAGCAGCAAGCAGAACTCTCGTCTCATAAATTGCAGGACTGAAAGTGTAGTGCTTGCTAGCATACATCAGAATATGATTCTGGAACGCCTCAAGGTCTGCAGTCGATCTGATTAAACCAAAAAATACATATAATTCTTGAAATAGGCATAAATAGTCATATTGTGAATCAGTGTGAAACATGTAGCCACACCTCACCTGAAACGCAGATATTTATGTATATCCTTCAGCCAATGCTTGTTGAGAACGATGTCCACTAAAGCTTTGTGGCACTTGGAGTCTCTCTGGATCCACATCTTTCCACGTGTTTCTTCCATGTGCTCATGTTGGCACCTTCCCATAGCCCAGGTGTGAATGTCACAGACATGGTGAATGATGCCAACCCATAGTTCCTGCAATAACAGAAACAGCACTTTAAAAATATCCTTCATATGGAAACTAATGGATCATCTTGTAATCAAACCGGCTCGAACGCCTGTCAATATGACCACATCCATCTTTAAACTCAACCTTCATTTTGATCTCAATTACACACATGTGCAGTTTTGTGACAGCAACTTAACAGTAACAAAATCTGTCCACAGAAACGAACACCTGCAAAAGTACTGAAAAAATGCCTCCGTGGTAGTTCCCTGTACAATAGGTGTGTCCAGGGCCACACTGTTCAACACACGCTATAGCAGATGGCATTTCTATATTATAAAAATATATAGAAATAATGTGCTTACAAGAAACTGCTGGGTATTGTCAGCTGTTTTACAACACCACCAAAAATGGTTAACGACGTCTTTCAGCCAGAGCCAGAGAGTGGGCTGTCCTTCTTTCTTTGCCGCCTTGTGGAGGGAAATTAAACAGATAATAATGTAAGACAAGGCTTTTCAACAGTTTTCCATAGAGGGCTGAGAGTGCAGATTTTCATCCCTACCAAAGAGTAAACCAGATGATTTCACTGACTAAAGCTGTAATATGTAACATAAAATGTCTATAAACACTAGACCTGTTCTATATGTAGTTGAGTTGTGTACTTACATTATCTCTAATGTTTCCCATAATGTTGTTTTGGTTCCCTGCCAGAAGTCATACATTTATTTTTTAACCATTGTTAAGCCACATTTTTGCTTTTTAGATCTATAATTTTTAACTCTAGATTTGAACCGTTTTAGTCATACGGAAGTCTGGATCTTAAGTTATCAGAGAACTAAGCTGAGCTAACCGTTAGAAAGCAGCTCGGCTCGAGCCCTCACGGGACGTCTTTGTTATCAAACAAGGCGTCGGACAAACCTGCTTTTATTCAGGAATACGCTAAACCAGGAGCTGCAATGACGGCAATGGTGGTAAAGACAACTCCCATGATGCCATGCTACTTGAGGACATCCTCAAACTGTCTTTTGTTATTGTTTTTCATGTGTGAGACTCCGTAGTGGCAGAAATGACATACTGTATGTTTAACACACCTTTACCAGAGAGCAGGAGCTCATCAGTGAAATCACCTTTTGTTGTCTTTGATTGGAATGAAAACTTAAGTGCTTTCAGTGGCACATTGTTAAATAACCCTGATGTTAGATATAGTCACTTTATGATGAACAAATGAGCAATAACATGAGCCACTTATTAAACTCACAGCAGCTATTTTTTTGGCCAGGTTTTTGGCACCGTGCCACATGTCCAGACTGTGATGAATACCGAGGGCCTTGTATCTGCCTTCGTCTGGGTCTGTGAAGAGGAGAATCTTTTAATATTACCACATTATTTCACCTTTTCAGCACATGAATTCATACATTACATCAGAGGAGTACTCACTCATAAGGGCTCCGATCTGGGCGTGAGCGTCTGTGCAGATCTCTGCCAGCCTGATTTCTGATGTGAGCTTGTCCACAGTCTGGATAAAACCCTCCTTCTCCATAACGACAGACTTCCAGGATGGCTGCCGCTTGTCTATGGTGGCAACATGAATTATCTCCTTGGTGTCATTCTCCATGCTGGTGTAGCTGCAGTACTGTGCACAATGGCCCGGCGAGTCGTTAATACCACCCGCTGAAAAACAGAAATAACAATTCAATCTGAATTAGCTGCTGACTTACGATCACACTGCCACTGCCTAATGTCTTACATAACATGGTTAAGTTGAAAAATCCCCTCCACACATGTATTACTACATTTATACAAATACACTGCTTGGAAGAATAATGTTTTGTCTGTTTTTTTAACAACAATGTTTAATTTCCACATTAAAATCCTCAAAAAGAAAAGTAATCTACTCCAGGAAGGAAAACAGATTTGTGAGTTGAGGGGAACTTTAAGCTACACACCTAGGACCACAACACGTTTCCCTTGAAGGCGACTGAGGGCCTCCGTCCTCCTCTCTTCCCAGAAGTCCTTTACTGTGCCGACACAGTAATTGTTCTGAATGGAGCAGAAGGTGTTCTTGTTCACCATCCCCATGTTCATGAATTTGAACAAGAGGGCAACCTTTGTATAGTCACTGCCAGATAACAAAATGTTGGTGGACAAGAGAAAATCTCCAGCTTGAACCCCGGACTTCATGACAGGCTGGGAATTCCACCTCCACAAGCAGTGTCCATTGGGACAGATCTAAAAGTCAAACACAAGTAATAATTGCATTTGGCATGTCCGGCATTAGCTTTCACTAGAAATTTACACTTATGATTCACTGTGACTGTCGAGACTTACCCATTCGACATTCGTTGCTGTGCCCTTGGAAGAGATGTTGATCTTGAAGGGGGCAACGCAGTCGCATATGGCACCGGTTCTCAAAGTGCCTGTACATTTATCCACAGGCAGGATCAGAAATGAAGCCAATTGTCTTAAACACTTCTCATAGACGATTGAAGCTTTGGCACCTATGATGTCATCTTCACAGCGGACATGCTTTCGGCGTGGGAACATTGGGTCTTGATTGTCAGGCTCATCAGGAGGGTCTTCATGTGCAGGCTGGTCATGCACAGTCTCACCAATCCCAATAACTGGAAGTCGATCAATGGGTGGTGCTTTCTTTAACTCTCCACCCATTCTGTTGAGGCACAGCATGAAGGCACGAGTAAAAATCAGACAACACACAACAGTAGCAGAGTAAATGTGACAGGGTCAGAAATACTCCGGTACATGTTCATTTGAATGCTTTTATTCGATT